CTCCCTCTCTCTCTGACCCTCCCCTGCTCACACTGTCTCTCTCTCTCTCCTAGAAATAAATAAAACATTAAAAAAAAAAAAGAAAGAAAATAGTTTTGACCTCCTCGATCCCAGAAGCGGTCTCAGGGACCCATAGGGCATCCATGGACCTGACTTTGTAAATTGCTGGTTCTAAGGAAAGGCCATGGTGCTCAGAGCTGAAACCTATCGCCTTGAAATCCTAGCTCTTTTCGGAAGCATTGCCCCAGACACATCAGCCCTCTCCGAGGGGTGGCCTTGTAGACATTTGGCCATGGGGACACAATGACGAGCTGTCTCTTCTCTCCCACGGGCAAGATTTCAAGGCCCTTCCTCCTCTTGATCGCTCCCCATTGAATCTTTAAGTGTGGAACCCACTGGACCCAGTGCTCTGCTGAACCCAACCTGGAGCAAAGGTGATGCCCAATTTGCCCTTTACGCCATAGTCAGCGCCTTAAGACTACATTAGAGGAACTTTGGAAATGTGGGGAAAGAAAACAAAGCACTATCATCTCATCACCATGACAGCCGCTGTTATGCTGTGGCCTTGAGTGGCCCAAACAATGTTGACTCATCCCGAACCTGTTGATGAAATCCCCAAGATTTTTTTGTTTTTTTTTTTTTGTCTTCCTACTGCTAAGCCACATCATCCTGGCCCTTTCCACATGGGGCTACAGCGCCCCATGAAGAAGGCCTGACATTCAGATCTGTCCACTGCCTTGTGGGCACATCTTCCAGTGTCTGGAGCCCGCTGGCCAAAGTTTTTACTAACTTTTCCAGCTTTGTGTGACCTGCAAATGAGATCACCCTCATCCCACATCAGTGACCTCTTCCATAAATGCTCCATGTGGCCGTTTGAACCTTGGATTGGATGTTCCAGGTTGAGACACACTCATTGATGATGTATATCTTCTGTATTAGTTTCTGCTGTTGTCAAAGTCCCCCAAATCAGGTGACAAACAGAAATGTATGCTCTCACAGCTCAGGAGGCCAGAGGTCTGACGTCAAGATGTTGGTAGGGACGCATTCCCTCCAGAGGCCCTCACCAAGTCTGTCCCTGAGGGTGCCTTGGTGGCTCAGTACGTCAAGCATCTGACTTCAGCTCAGGTCATGATCTCACAGTCGATGGGTTTGAGCCCCGCACCAGGCTCTGTGCTGATGGCTAGCTCAGAGCCTGGATCCTGCTTCAGATTCTGTGTCTCCCTCTCTCTGCCCCCTCCCCCACCCATGCTCTGTCTCTCAAAAATAAATACATGTTAAAAAAAATAAAAAACAACAACACAAGACTGTGACATTCCTGGAAGATAACAGGAAAAAGCCTGCATGACCTCAAATATGATGATGACTTTTTAGATGCAATGCCAATGATGTGATCCACAGAATAAATAATTGATAAGCTGATTTCATTAAACTAACAACTTCTGCTCTGTGAAAGACAACATCAAGGGAATTAGACAATCACAGCGTGGGAGAAGATATTTGCAAAAGACACATCTGATACAGGGCTGTTGTCCAAAATATACAAAGAACTCTTAAAACTCAACAATAAGAAAACAAGCAGCCTAATTAAAAAAGGATCCAACAGAGGTGCCTGGGTGGCTCCGTTATTAAGCGTCTGACTTCGGCTCAGGTCATGATCTCATGGTTTGTGAGTTCGAGCCCCGCATTGGGCTCTGTGCTGACAGCTTAGAGCCTGGAGCCTGATGCAGATTCTATGTTTCCCTCTCTCTGCCCCTCCCTCACTCATACTCTGTCTCTCCCTCTTGCTCTCTCAAAAATAAATATTTAAAAAATAAATAAAAATAAATAAGGATCCAAAGACCTTAACAGACATTTCACCAAAGATAAACAGATCAGATATAAGCATATGAGAGGCGCCTGGGTGGCTCAGTTGGTTAAGCATCCAACTCTTGATTTCAGCCCATGTCACCATCTCCGCGGTTTCGTGAGTTCCAGAAATATGTCAGGCTCTGCGCTGACAGGGTGAAGGCTGCTTGGGATTCTCTTTCTCTCTTCCTCTCTCTCTGCCTCTCCCAACTCACACTGTCTCTGTCTCAAAATAAATAAATAACTTTTTTTAAAATTTTAAAAAAAGAATAAAAGCAGCATAGGAAAAGGTGCTCCACATCCTATCATCAAGGAAGTGCAAATCAAAGCATCAATGAGATGCTACACATCTATTAAAATGTACAAAACCCAGAACACTGAGGACGCCAAATGCCAGCAAGAACCGGAAGCAACTGGAGCTCTCATTCATTGCCGGGCGAATGCAAGCTGGCACAGCCCCTTTTGAAGACAGTTTGCCAGTTTCATACACAGCTATACATACTCTTACCATATGATCCAGCAATCGTGCCCTTTGGGATTTACCCAAAGGGAGGTGACAAATTACATCCACGTGAAAACCTGCACAAGGATGCTTAAAGCAGCTTTATGCATAATGGCCCAGACTTGGAAGCATCCAAGGTGTTCTTCAGGAGACTAATGAATACATCATGGTGCGTCCAGACAATGGAATATTTATTATTCAAAAGAAATGAGGTATCAAGCCATGAAGAGACCTACAGGGATCTTAAGGTGCCTATTACTAAATGAAGGAAGCCAATCGGAAAAGGCTACCTCTTGTATGATTGTGGCCAGATGACATTATGGAAAAGAGAGAATGGAGGCAGGGAAAAGATCAGTGGTTGCCAGGGCTGGGGAGGGGTGGGGAATGGGGGTGGGTGCATAAATAAATGGAGCACAGAAGATTTTTAAGGCAGTGGAAATACTCTGTGTGATATTATAATGATGGGTCCATGCCATCATCCATTTGTTCATAGGATGTTCAACACCAAGAGCGAGCCCTAAGGTAAACTATAGGTTTTGGGTGATTATCATGTGTCAATGTCAGTTCATCCTTGACTAAGAAAATGTACCATTTTGGGGAGTGATGTTAATAACAGGAGGCCGTGCACGTGTGGGCCGGGGTGGGGGTGGGGGAGGGTGTTATGAGAATCTCTCCACTTCTCTCTCAATTTGGTTGTAAACCCCAAACTGCTTTAAAAAATTCTTTTTTAAAAAAAATGTTTATTATTTCTGAGAGACAGAGAGACAGAGAGCAAGCAGGGGGAGGGGCAGAGAGAGAAGGAGACACAGAATCAGAAGCAGGCTCTAGGTTCTGAGCTGTCAGTACAGAGCCCAACGCAGGGTGGGAACTCCTAGATCCAGAGATCATGACCTGAGCTGAAGTCGGATGCCTAACCAACTGAGCCCCACCCAGGTGCCCAAAAACGTTATTCTTACAAAAAAAAAAAAAAAAAGGCAAGGTCCTTGACCAAATGGAACTTCTATTCTGTTGGGGAAGACAATAAACCAGTCATGGAATGAATGAGTATTCTGTGCTCTGAAGACAGGAAAACAAGACTGTGTGACAGATAGAGGGTACTGGGGACCCAGCAGGCAAGAGACCATCAGGAAGACCATCATGAAGAGAAGACATTGCAGATGAAATCTGAATATGGAGAAGAGGCCAGCCATGCAGAGCTCTGTAGGGAGAGCAGTTCCAGCAGAGGGCAGAGTTCAGTAGTCGGGGAAAATGGAAAAAAGGTCCCCGGGCCTGGACCTAAGTGGACATGGGGATGTCATGAGGTTGGAGGAGGGCTGGGGTCAGAACTCTCTGGGCTTTTAGACCCCCGTGTGTGGGCTAGCTCTTTTTTTTTTTTAATTTTTTTTTTTTTTTTTAAATTTCTGAGAGAGAGACAGCGTGAGCAGGAGAGGGTCAGAGAGAGAGGGAGACACAGAATCCGAAGACAGGCTCCAGGCTCTGAGCTGGCTGTCAGCACAGAGTCTGACGCCGGGCTCAAACCCATGAACCGTGAGATCATGACCTGAGCCGTGAGATCATGACCTGAGCCGAAGTTGGACGCTTAGCCGACTGAGCCACCCAGGCGCCCCAAGGGCCAGCTCTTAATCCAAGGGCATCACAGGGCTCTGAGGAGACCGTGCTGAGTCCCTGTTTGGATTTGGTCTGAGGTCCAGATGGCTCTCAATCTCTACTCACTCGTGAGTCCTCTGTGGCGCCACACGCTTCCTGAAGGTGTCCCCGCTTCCTTCCTCCCAATGGCAGTTACCCAACCTGAGTTGCATTTGGAAAGCTTCCTCTGTCACTCAGAGTCCCTACAGTGGTTCACCCCTAGTTTGGTTAGCATGAGCCAGTCATCCCCACCCTCCCTTCCTATAGGTCCTGGGGGCCTCCGTCTCCAGATCTGTAAAGTGGCGGGGGAGAGGTGGGGGAGACAAATGATGCAAAGGGCCTTTCCGGTGCTATCACTGTAGCTTTGGATAGTGACTGGGAGAGGATGCAGCACAAGTGGGATCCAGGGAAGAAATGAAAGTGAAAGATGGAAAACAATCCTCCAGGCTGGGGGAGGGGGGGGTGTAGGAGGAGTAGTCGGGGAAGGAGGGAAGTTTTTAGAAAGCTGGGCAGGCAGAGATCCTGTGACCCCGGCTTTCATTTCTCCTAAGCACCCCACAGCACCATGTGACGCGGCCCCGCCACAGAAAGGGGAAGCGAGGAGAGCCCAGACTTTCTCAAGAAGCGCAAAGCTGGACAGAGGACGCTGAGCAGGGAGAGAGAAAGAGCCAGCGGGGGCCAGAGAGGAGGGGAGGCAGAAGGGGGGTCAGGGAGGGGGTGTAGGAGACAGCAAGGCCGGTGGGGGCGGCGCGAGCCGGGTGGGAGGGCTCCCTCCCCAGAGGGCTCGCCAGGTGTCACAGGGGGAAGGGACAATTCAGACGGAGCGGCCAACCGGGGAGACCGACAGGAAAGGAGGGGGAGGGGCAGGGAAAGTGGGGCCGAAAAGGGTCGGCAGGAGGGGCCGCGGGGTGGAGAGGAGGGGGAGAAAGAGCCAGGGGGGAGGAAGGAGGAAGAATCAGGGGTGGGTGGAGGGGCGAGGGGAGAGTTGAGGGGCAGGGGCAGGCAGGTGGGGCCTGGGTAGCCAACAGAGGCAGGAAGGGGAAAACCAGGCAGAGGGGTCAGAGGCACAGAGGCGGAAAGGGGGGCCACAAGGGGTGAGAAGGGAGGGCCGCCCGCGCGTTCGGGGGCCGCAGGTGCAGGATGGCCGCGCCGCGCGCCGGGGAGGAGCGCCGGCCGCTGCTGGCGCGCAGGCCGCGGGCGCCCCGACGGTGGCGGCGGACGGCGGCGGCCGCGGTCCTGCTGGTGGAGGCGCTGGAGCGCGCCGCCTTCTTCGGCATCTCGGCCAACCTCGTGCTCTACCTCAACAGCGCCAGCTTCCACTGGGACGGCCAGCAGGCGTCCCGCGCCGCGCTCGTCTTCCTGGGCGCGTCTTACCTGCTGGCGCCCGTGGGCGGCTGGCTGGCCGACGCGTACCTGGGCCGCCACCGCGCCATCGCGCTCAGCCTGCTGCTCTACCTGTGCGCCTCCGGCCTGCTGCTCGCCACCGCCTTCCTCGACGGCCGCCGCTCCTTCTGCGGGGAGGTGCCCCAGTCTTCCCTGGCGCCCGCCTGCCCGTCGCCCGACTGCCCGCGCGCCCCGCCCGCCCAGTACTGCGCGCCCACGCTCTACTCGGGGCTGCTGCTGCTCGCCCTGGCCGCCAGCTCCATCCGGAGCAACCTCACCTCCTTCGGGGCCGACCAGGTGAGTGGCAGGCGGGCCGCCCCGCGCGGAGGCCCAGGGAACGCACAGGGCCAGTGGCGTTCGTGGGGGCTGAGACGCAGAGCCAGGAGCGACCTCGGACAAACCACTTCCCCTCTGCGCGCCCAGTTTCCTTATTCGAAAGAAGAGGGGGAGCTAACTCGAACAGTCACGATGGCCACGATGGTAATGACCGTAGTGGGTAGTTGGTTTTCTTTGACTGTGAGCCACCTTCAATGTTTCAACTAGTTTAATTCTCTTAACTACCCAGGAGGTAGGTGGTATTATTGCGCCCATTCTACAGATGAGGACACTGAGGTTTCCGGATATTAATCAACCTGCCCTTGTTCACATAGAGAGCAGGTCAAGGAGTGGGGAGCTGGACTTCAGGCCCCACCATGAACCCCATATTTCTTTAAGTTTATTTATTTATTTTGAGAGAGAGACAGCGAGAGTGGGTGAGAGAGAGAGAGAAAGGGTCCCAAGCAGGCTCCTTGCTGTCAGCGCAGCCTACGACGTTATGGGGCTCGAACCTACAAAGCTGGGAGATCATGACCTGTATGGAAACCAAGTGTTGGAGGCCTAACAAGCTGAGCCACCCAGGCGCTCCCATGAACCCCACCTTCATGTGTTACAGAGATCCGGGGGCTAGGGAAGGAGAAAGCCTCTTCCTAACCAGCAGGATAGAGGCTGGTTCAAGCCGACTTGTTTGGATCCCAACTCTGCTGCTTACCAGCCAGGAGCACTTGGGCAAATATCTTAACTTCTGAGCATTTCTCTGTATGCTTTTGGACAGAGCATGGCACGTAGGAGAAAGTCAGTAAATATTTACTAAACAAATGAGTAAATGCCTCAGACATGACTATGTTTTGATAGCTTTCCTCAGTAGGATATTAGACAATAATTTTAAGTAACCTGTAATATGATTATAACAAGCATCTATGGTGTAAGTGAACAAAATCGAGGCAGAACTGCATACAGAATATGATTATAGCCATATGAAAAGACTGGGAGTCAGCTAAAAAGGAAAACAGGAAAAAAATTGTAGCAGTAGTGGGATCAGGCCACTGGACTAGTCGTACTTTTCCCTCATTGTCTCTGGTTTCCAAATGTTCTTTCATTGTATGTATTCACCATCATCAAGAGGGCATTTTAAAAAGAATCATTGCATCCAACTAGCATCCACAATTCAACATCCAATGGTTTCTGGTGTCCTTGCCAAGGACTTCCTTATCCAGCCTGTTTGGATTCTTTGGTGATGGGGGACTCAGTGGCCCCAGGGCAACCTGTCCATTCTCAGGAATCTGTTGACCTTCCTTCAGGCTAGGAGACCCCCAACATCTACCAATAGGAATCCCTCTTCTTCCCTTCTTTGTACTCTTTCAGTGACATCCACTTTACTGCCAGGTGCCCTTAACCTGTGCCCTTGACCTCACTGACCTCCAGAAAGACTCCACCATCCAGTGTCCCCCGTCTCTCCCTCCACCTGGTGGCAGAACTCCGGTGGCATCAACAGTGATAACTGCTCTTGAGCATTCTCCTGTTTACTGAGCTTGGACTGTGGGCGGGCTGAGGCCAGGCTGCCCTACAGGGTCTGAACCTGACTTAGGATGGCTTGGAAACACTGAAATGATTTTAGGCAGGGGTGGACATCACTGGATGTGACTTCTTTAAAAACATCTCTGGCTGCAGTGGAGAGTGGATGGGGGTGACAGGTAGGTACATCAGAGCTGCGAGGGGCTGCTGCAGAATTTGGGGGGGTCAGTCAGCTGAAGGATGCGTGGGTGGGAAGAGTCCGCACCATCTGGCACATGGCCATAGCCAGGGGCTGCAGCTTTAACACACTTGCTGATTTCAGAAAGGACCATCCATCATTCTTGACAGAGCGCTCATTTTGGGAGAGCTCATTTATATCCGGAATGGGCTGCCTGCTCTTCCCCTTAGAGCTGCAATTGTCGTGTTCATTTACTTCCAATTAATAAATGGAAGTGGCTGCACATAATGAGACTTATTTAATTTCCTGCTTGAGAATCTACAGCAAAAACTCTCACGGAGTGAACACGCCCCTCCTTCTCGGTTGCCGAGAGGACCCCCTCAGAACCTCCGAGGGAATGCCGCCGTATGGACTTTCATTTCATTTTTGAAAAAGGAACAAAATACACACTTTTCCACCAATGCAGTTACAGAAAGTAAAGCTTGACAAAAGAGGAGAGCTTTTTTTTTTTTTCGATTTTGAGATGTGGCGGTATGTTGAAAGGGTGATGGGTGTAATGTGCACAGAATCACCTAGAGAACTGATCTCTAGTCCTCACTGCCTTTTAGAAATGCACTGCCTTTTAGAAATAAAATTACCTTCCCACCACTCCCCTCCCTTCCCCTCCCCTCCCCTTCCCCAGAGCTACTGAGTTGGAACCGGGACCGGTCTGAGGTGGAGTCAGCCAGTGCAGCTGACTCGAGCCAGCAGACTGGAAGGGGGCCTGGGGCCTGACGGTTGCAGATTGATCCAAATCCTGGGTAAAGATTTTCAGCCCTGCTGCCCTTGCTGAGGGGCCGGACTTTTTTTTTTTCCCCCACCAGACCAGAATCCTCTCCTGGGGCTCTATCTGAGCCCACCTCTGTTTTCCCTGATATGCCAACCTTATTCCACTGCCTGTGTGTATCGAGGGAGCAAGTCGAGGGGGAAGGGATGGGCCACGATAGAAAACCCTGCATCTGCAAATTGCAGAGGAGACTCTCAATTAGACTCTTAACTGTTCTTGCAGTCATGCGCGTCCATCACATTTAATAATGTGGAACAGACCCGATTTTTATTGGCTTTCTTCTGATTATAAAGGTGGTGCATATGAAGGTTGTTCAGTCAGAGACAAAGGGATACATCGACCGGAAAGGAACAAAATGCACTGGACATCTGTTGTGTGCCCTCCTTGGTGAAAATTAAAAAGCGCTGTGTGCCATGGGCCTGAAAAAACAGCTGTGCCAAAATGTCCTAGTCATTAACAAGTGACTCCCCAGGGAAAAGTTTATTCATTCAATGAACAAATATTTATTGAATGTCTATTTAGTGATCAGGGACTAGGGAAGTGCTGGAATGTTTGCCCTCTGACCCAGGCAGTGCCTCTGTGGGAAAGGGGGCACAGGTACACGGTGGCGGCGTGCCCGCGGACCTCCTGGGCCCTTACTCTCACCCCTGCCCAGCAGGTGATGGATCTTGGCCGCCAGGCCAGCCGCCGCTTCTTCAACTGGCTTTACTGGAGCATCAACGTGGGTGCTGTGCTGTCGCTGCTGGTGGTGGCCTTTATCCAGCAGAACATCAACTTCCCGCTGGGCTACGGCATCACCGTGGGCTGCGTGGGCCTGGCCTTCTTCATCTTCCTCTTTGCCACCCCCGTCTTCGTCACCAAGCCCCCCATGGGCAGCCAAGTGTCCTCTATGCTTAAACTTGCTTTACAAAACTGCTGTCCCCGGCTGCGGCACCGACACTTTGCCAGGTAAGGAGAGGGCTCTTGGTGAAGGGGGCCGCGGAGCCTGGGCAAGCGCCGTGCTTCTCCTGGGTAGGCACAATCCACTTGGAAGAACTTTCCGGTCCAGCTCCCAAGGTAGCCCTTTACGACAACCTGCTCTCCAGGGGCCAGCGCTGCCCACTGTGACGGAGGATGGCGACGAAGGTCAAGGTGGTGGTGGTGGTCCTGGCAATGGACTAACCGTAGAAAGTATGGGGATGTTAATGATCTTGACGGTGATGGTGGCCATGAAGGTAGAGATGGAGGGATTTGTTAGCAGCCGTAGTGAAGGTAAAGCCATGGTGACTGACTATGGCAGGTGATGACGGAGATACGGTACCAGCAAAGCCTGTTGGGATACGATAGAAATAATCCACCACCACCTTGACATTAAGTACAAGAAAGTCTAAGAAGTCAGCCAAGCTTGCCCCTCCTCCGTTAGCCGGCCCCCCAGGGAGGATGGTTCCTGATCTTGCGAATGCACAACGGTTTCCTTTTGCTCCCTCCCTCCTGAGTTCATTGACTCCTTATGCTAAGCAAACTTGGAGGCCTTGGAGCCCATTACAGATGCTGTCGGGAGGATCGAGATGGGAAAGGTGCAGAACGTGTTCTTCCAAGCTAGCGCATTGTCGTGGGGTTTTGTTTTAATGATCTGCTGCACCCCAGCAAACCACCCCGGAACTCAGTGGGTTAAGCAACCACCTTTCATTACCTGACACAATTCTGTGGGTGACTGGGTGGAGCCGGGCAGTTCTTCTGCTACTTGTGATGTCACCGGAGGGGCTGCAGTCATCTGGGGAACCCGAAGGGGTCAGAACATCTGAGACAGCTCACTTATGTGAGCATTCCATGCTGGCCGTCAACAAGGGCGCCTCGGTTCCCCTTCACGTGGCCTCACGCCTGTGGCTAGAACTTGCCACAGCAAGGCTTCTGGGTTACCAGAGCAGGGAGCTTTCCAAGAGAGAACGTTCCAAAGGGAAGGAAGCAGAAGCATCGCTTCTGCTCATTCCATTGGTCAGCACAGCCACAAGGCTGGCCCAGATTCAGGGCAGGGGAACTAAACACCCATCGGTGGTAGAGCAGCATCACATACTAGGCGGGGAAGAGCAAAGCTGATGGTGGCCCTTCTTTGGGAATGACCACACTGGTGTTATCCCTTTTGGCTTCTCAAAGGATGAGGCAAGGTGCGCCTGGGTGGCTCAGTCAGTTAAGCGTCCGACTTCAGCTCAGATCACGATCTCACGGTTCGTGGGTTCGGGCCCTGTGTCAGGCTCTGTGCTGACAGCTCGGAGGCTGAACTTGCTTTGGGTTCTGTGTCTCCCGCTCTCTTTGACCCTCCCCTCACCTCAAAAATAAATAAACATTAACTTTTTTTTTTAATTTTCAAAGGATGAGGCAAGGCGCTTGACCAAGAAGGGATTAGAAACCTGTGAGGACAAAGGGGAAAGGGCAAAGGTCGTAGCAGTGGTTGATCTATCCGGTTTCCTGATCACTTTCCTTGTACCCCCACCTCTCTGCCCCTTTCCTCCTCATCACGTGGGGAGAGGGCTGTAATGTCATCTGTTGAGGAGGGTGGACTTGGAGACAGCAAGCAGGGGCTTTTGGCGGGGGGGTGGGGTATATCAAACCTGGGCCAGCCTCTCTGAGTCAGGCTTGGACTGGGACTCCCCTGCTTCCCACTGGAAAGTGATGCTGTGAGCCAAAAATCCCCCAAGACTCCGCTCACCACAGTCTCTGGTCTACTTTCCTCAGGACCACGGGACCATGGAGCCACAGCTCCGGTGGGATGGGTCTTGATAAGCCACTTGTGCAGGAAAGGAGGTAACAGCGAGGACAGTGACTGGGAGTGTAATGAACACTCCGCAGGAGGCTGGCTTTGGGGGCGCTCACCTCCCTAACGACGATGAGGATGAGGATGGAGAAGGTGGCGCTCATGGTGGAGGGAAGAGACGGGTGATTTTGGAGGTGATGGCTCTGGTCACTGGTGATAGGGGGGCATGATTAGATTAGGGGATCATGGCGGCCGTGGTGGTGGTGGTGATTTTCCCCGCTGCTCCCATGGCCCCACAGAGACCTTCAAGGCACAGAAACACTGCTTGCGCGGAGGTCTCCCCAGCCTGGCCCTTCCCCGCAAGACGACATCGCCAACTTCCAGGTTCTGGTGAAGATCTTGCCCGTCATGGTGACCCTGGTGCCCTACTGGATGGTGTACTTCCAGGTGAGCATCTTGGCCTTTGGTCCTGGTCTACACTGGCTCCCCAAGCCCCCCGACTGGGCTCAGCTCTCACTGAAAAAGCCCAGAGCATGTGGAAAGGGGGTCAGGGGTTCACAGAGTGAACTGGAGCTACCTGAGGGCTGGCACAAAGCCATCCTGATAATTTTTTAAAGTGTTTATTTATTTTTGAGAGGAAGAGGGGGGTGCAGAGAGAGAGGGGGACAGAGGATTTGTCAGCACACAGCCTGATGTGGAGCTTGAACACACAAACCATGAGATCATGACCTGGTCCAAAGTCAGACGCTCAGCTGACTGATACACCCAGGCGCCCCTCGACCATTCCACTCCAGCACGAGGAACACTGGAGACAGGTCAGAGGCCCCCGGACTTGACTGTCACCCCACCTGTCTGGGCCTCCTGTGTATAACAGGTGGCTTTGAGGCTCTAACAGCTTTACAGCATCCAGGTTCTCGGCCACCTCCACTGAGGCCCAGAGAAGGTGTGCCGGGTGCCCAATGCCTCACAGCCAGTTAGGGGAAAGCGTTGAATACTTGGCAGTGGTGATTCCCCGCCCTAGCTGTGTCTCAGCCACCCCTGTCCCACACCAGACGACCGAAAGAGAATTGCTGGGGGAAGTCTCTAGAATTAGAAACTTCTTGGGTGACACTGGTGCTCAGCCAGGTTGGAGAGCTACTCCTTCCCACCATTTCCGTTTTTTTCTTTTTTTTTTTTTATGTTTATTTTTGAGACAGAGAGAAACAGAGCATGAGTGAGGGAGAGGCAGAGAAAGAGGGAGACACAGAATCCGAAGCAGGCTCTAGGCTCTGAGCTGTCAGCACAGAGCCCAACACGGGGCTCGAACCCACAAACCGTGAGATCATGACCTGAGCCGAAGTCGGACACTTAACCGACTGAGCCACCCAGGCTCCCCATTCTTCCCACCATTTCCTGAGGGGAAGGTTAGCGGGTTAGCAGTGTGTGTGTGTGTGTGTGTGTGTGTGTGTGTGTGTGTGTGTGGTGTACAGGGTGGGCAGCAGCCTCCCACAGCCTCTAACCTCCAGACTACAAGGTCATTGCCTTCCATACCCCCTTCATAGGAAGCTTGTTGCTCATTACAGAAGATGGGGGCTATGCAGGACCAGCCTGCTACTTGGAGGTGGCACAGAGAAGGTGTCCATGAGGGGACAGGACATGGGGTGCAGGTGCCCGTGGCTGATTGTCAGTCATACTGGTTGTCAGAATATTGACATCCTTACGTACCACTTGGTAAATAGCTGCTGTCCTGAGCAACCTAAGTGCCCTCCCCAGCCCCAGACCCTCCTGTGGGATTCTCCGGGACCTCCCCACCCCCATGTTATATAACAGCCAAAGGAGTGATATCGGAGGCTATCAGTGGGCACTGGGCCCCCAAGAGCGTGCTCCTGCACCTGTGTCCAGAGCCAATCAGGTGGGTTGGTGCCTAGATGGTGCCTGTGCTGTGTCAGCCTGTGGGACTCAGCCTGGCCGCGGTGTCAAATGAGAGCTCCCCGTGGGGACAGCCATGTCATTATCTTCCCTATATCAACAACCATTTATCCACACCTGCTCTGCGCCAGGCCCTGGAGACACAAATGTGAGCCGGCCCAGCTGTGCCCAGGCTCTGGGACAGGGCTGCGCAGGCAAGCTCACAGGTCTGGGAGCAGAGCACAGGACTGCAGGAGGCTCCCAGAGGAAGGAGGGCAGGGAGGTCGGCTCCCCCTGAGGCTGGGGGAGGGGACCGCTCTGAGCTACTTCCACGGAAGGCCTGTCTGGGGAGCTGGGACTCTCCTGGGGCTGGAGGTGAGGGTCTGTTCCAGGCACGCCTCCATCTCTCTTGACAGATGCAGTCCACCTATGTCCTGCAAGGTCTTCACCTCCACATCCCGACCATTTTCCCCGCCTACCCGGCCAACAGCTCTGTGGCTCTGAGAGCCCAGGGCAGCGGCTACAAGGTAAGAGACAAGGTGGGTGCTCAGCCCCCACTTCCGGCCGCCCTGGGTGCCTCCCCCTACAAAAAGAGAAGGAAATGAAGCTGCTTCCACACCCAGGGGGCAGGGGGTCCTCAGGGAAAGGGAAAAGCACCTGGAAGGTGGGTAAAGCTGTGCCCCAGCCTAGGCACCCTGCCAAGATGCTCAACTGCTCAGAAGAATTCAGGCCAGCTTTGCTCCCGCCCACAGCTGCTCTGAAGGGCGCACTTGGGACCCTTGGGTCTCTCCTGAGTCCCCTCACTCCCACTCCCTGGGGCCCCCGGCTGCCCAGATGTCTGCCTTTCGCCGGGACTTTCCAAACCAGTCCCCTGGCATCTCAAAGACTCATACAATCAAAGGCCCTCAGAGCTGGCAGTTAAATGACATTGGCCGCTGTACCTTTGTTCCCTACCCAGGCAAGACATCACTGATGAATCTTGACATGTTTGATGCTGGGCCCAAGTATGTTCCAGGCAGCCACTCCCCATTGGCGGAGGTCAGAGGAACCTATCTTCCATCCCTGATCTACCCCCATCATCGATGTCCACAGCTGAGCAATGTGCATTCCAGAGAGGGAAAGGGGCTGGCCGCGGCTCAGCCAGGGTGGGTCCGGAGGCCAGCTCTCCCAACTCCAGCCCAGAGCCCCTTCTGCTCTGCTAGCCTGCCTTGCTTGGCTCCCTCTTGCCCAGACCCCGGAAGCCTGGCTCCTCCTGGCCAACGTCGTGGTGGTGCTGATCCTGGTGCCTGTGAAGGATCATTTGCTGGACCCTTTGCTGCTGCGTTGCAAGCTGTTGCCCTCAGCCCTGCAGAAGATGGCGCTGGGGATGTTCTTTGGTTTTGCCTCCGTGGTTGTGGCCGGTGAGTGGAGGGACAAGGTGGTGGGTGCTTGGCTCCATTTCGGGCTGATGCTAGTGCTGTGGGCCAGGGGGCCAAGAAGACCTTCCTGCCGTGGGTGCCATCTTGGCTTCCCAGAGGGTGTGAGCTGAAGGGGACCGTCCTCCTCCAGTCCAAGCTTCCCCTCTTCTTGACAAATGAAGAAACTCAGGCCAAGAGAGGGAACAAGATGTCCCCCAGTGGGATGTAAGCTTCCTAAAGGCAAGGTTCTTCCTTTCTTTTTCATTTAATGCACACAGGTGCCCAATACTTGGGTTCAATGAATGTTTCAGACGCTCAGCCACTTAAAAAGAACTTATCATTGATTCTCTTCCTTCCTCTGGTTCTAAAGGATTTGCAGCCATTTATAAAATGGTAAAGAAGTTTCTGTAAGCTCCTGGTAAAGAAGCTTTTCATGCTATTGCACAAACCTTAGTCCTTTTCACTTAGTAACTTGATGATTCTGAAGTTACTTAGTGTCTGCGAGCCCCACCTCTACAATGGGGATAGTAATTCATTCATCCCTGGTGTAGGATAGGGGCTCTGCCCTCATGGAATGTAGTCTAGCAGGAGTGTTCTGAGGATTAAAAAAAGGTAACGTCTGTAAAACACCCAGTACTATGCCTGGATCACAGGGGTAGGAGCCAGGGGGGATTAAAGCTCAATAGATAGTATTGTGTTACAAGGATGAAAACCAAACCAAGTTCTTTGTCAGTTACGCGCTTTAATGCGCTCTGTCCTGTTCCATCCTCATAGCAACCCTGGGATTTTTATTCTTACTCCTTGCATCTGAGTGAGCACTGGGTCTCAGAGAGCTTAACTGATTTGCCCAAGGTCACACAGTGTGGCAGGGCCAGGATTAGAACCTGAGTCACTTAACACCACATCCGGTATTCATTTCACTATAGTGCAGTTGTCTCCTAAACAATGGGGAAGGAGAGAAATCGAAGCTTGAACACCGGGTTAGAAAACCCTTCTGCAACACTTGATGCAGTGGTAGACAAGTCACGTGATCGCATGGAAATGGCGCCAGTGGCAAAATCAGACACACCGGGGCTCAAATCCACCCCAGCTACTCATAAGCCATGTGACTCTGGGCTGGTTGCTTAACCTAATTTTTTTTAATTTGCAAGGCTGCATATTAGATGCCTAGCACGTAACAGGCTCTCAACGCAAGTCATTCCTGTGAATGACTGCAAAACCTCATCCCGAGCTTCCTAGCTGCCAAAGCAAAAATCAAAGGGTTGAAACTCAAATCTGGGACCTCCACCCTGCCTCCAGGCCAGTATTCTCTTCTTTACCTGCTGCTCAGTTCACCTAGTGAACACCTACTGTATGCCATGCTCTGCCATGGGCTAAGCTGCACACAGTGGGCCTGGCTACACTCCCTCCCCCCTTCCCCCCTCCAGGAGGCCTAGAGATGGAGCGTTTACAGTACATCCATCGCAACGAGACGGTGTCCCAGAAGATCGGGAAGAATGTGTACTATGCAGCACCTCTGTCCATCTGGTGGCAGGCCCCTCAGTACCTGCTTATCGGGATCAGTGAGATTTTTGCCAGTATCCCAGGTACCCGGGACCCTTCCCCCTGCAGTGGCACCAGGTGATGGGCTCTGCCTGGTGCTGCCTCAAGCAAAGTCAGCGGCCTCGCAGGCACAGCTTCTCAAGTGCATGTGGGTGGAGGAAGGCCGGGTTCTCTAAGTAGGGCTGCCTTCACCCAGTGGAGACTTGCTAGCCCTTGGTTTGTGCCAGGCAGTATGATGGGCACTGCGGATTTGGAGAGGATTGAGACACTCCCATAAGGACTTCCCACATAGTCCCTGGCACCACGTTCCTCATCCCCACGTGTCTGTGCAAGTGCTGTTCCCTCTGCCTCAGATTCACAGCGAAGGACTATTTTTCCCCTTCACTTCTGAGCCTAAATGCCAGGTTCTCCATAAGGCCCTTTCCGAGGCCCCTGGGCAGAGGGAGTCCTTTCCTCCTTTTGTTCCCATCTATCACAGCACATGGGTCGCTGTGTTGTAATAAGGCAGTCCAGATTTGTACCCCCGGCCGGGCTGTGAGCCAGAGCTGTAGGGTGGGGGTGGACTCTTCACTCAGCCAGCGGGCAGCTTCCTCAGCTGCAGGCCAGGGCTGGGCCCGGGTGGGACTCACTCAGAATTGGAGGGGGATCCCCCAGACAGTAATACCCAGTGGGGGACTGTGGAAGGGACTCTGGGATGTTGGGAAAGCCCAAGGACGAGGTGGGAAGGAAGCAGGTGGGCAGCGGGGGCAGAACTCAGCACGTAGCAGGAAAGGTGTCACAGGCAATAGGCACAGCATAGGCAAAGAGCTGAGCTTTTCGTGGGGAGTGTCTGGAAGACTGGAGAGGTGCAGGGCCAAACCCGGATGTTGAAGTTTCTCCTGGGGGCCATAGTCACCCCCCCCCCCCCGCCCAGGAGATTTTGGTAGGGAAAGGATCCCATGCGAGGGTTTTTAGACAGACCCATCTGACTATGTGAGGAGGAAGACAGGAGGCAGGGGAGTTGAGGCGTTTGCTGGGGCTGGGCAGGAAATAACCAGGTCTGGAGGGTGGTCCAGGGTAGAGGGAAGAGAGAGGACAGACAGTGAGATCTCTGAGGTTGAATCGAAAGGATTTGGTGATGGGGCACCTGGCTGGCTCAGTCAGTTGAGTGCCTGACTCTTGATTTTGGCTCAGGTCATGATCCAGGGGTTGTGGGATGGAGCCCCATGTCGGGCTCTGCACTGAGCATGGAGCCTGCTTGGGATTCTGTCTCCCCCTGCCCATCCCCTGCTCATGCACATGGGTGCGCTCTCTAGCTTAAAAAAAAAAAAAAAAAAAGGATTTGGTGATGATGTTGAAGGTGGGCAGAGAGAGCAGGGGAGAGAGAGGTGCTATCTGAGATGGGAAACCCAGGAGGAAGAGGAAGAGGGGAGACAGAGCAATGTGGGGGCGTCCAGGGGGGAGGGGAACAGATGAGGAGGGCAGAGGCAAGGTGCCAGCGGTGCAGAGGTGTTGTCCTAGCCATGTAGTGGGCAGTCCAGGGAGACCCGGATGGGGGCTTGCTGAGTGTGGGCCAGGGGTCTGGGGCCCCGTCTCTGCTCCTCCACTGGCCTCCTGGGTCTCATTCCCCTCCCCCCACGCCCCCCCGCAGGCCTGGAGTTCGCCTACTCGGAGGCTCCTCGCTCCATGCAGAGTGCCATCATGGGCATCTTCTTCTGCCTGTCAGGAGTGGGCTCGCTGTTGGGCTCCAGCCTCGTGGCACTACTGTCACTGCCAGGGGGCTGGCTCTACTGCCCCAAGGACTTCGGTGAGTGTGGGGTCCTCCCTGGGGGTGGGAGGCCCGGAAAGGAGCCTAAGGGCTTTGACCCCAGGCAGAATGAAAATAGCAGGCTGGGTTCGGGGGGACAGGGTTCTAGCCCAAACTTGGCCAGCTGCCCACAACGTGGCTTCCCCACGCCGGGCCTCAGTTTCCCTAACTGTCAAAAAGGAACCCGTGAACTCAGCAGGCCTCCAGGGCTCCTCCCTGCATCTGGAAGTCTGTCATTCTGGCTGAAAGGGTCACCTTTCCCTGTAGCGTTGGTGTTTTAAGCCCTGGAAAGAATAGCAGGAATTGCAGACGCCACAGGAAACACCAGGGGTGGCCAGATGCTGGAGGGCTGTCTGCCCACCCACTGTCTGTCCATACCTCCTTGGCGGCCAGGCCCGGGGCAGCCCTGCCCGGCCCAACCCAAATGCCAACCCCTCCTTTCCCCAGGGAACATCAACAATTGCCGAATGGACCTCTACTTTTTCCTGCTGGCCGCCATCCAGGCCGCCACGGCCCTCCTGTTTATCTGGATCGCTGGTCGCTACGAGAGGGCAGCTCGGGGCCCAATCTCCCAAAGCTGCCCCAGCAGGGATAGGGGCTGAGCACCCCCTGCTTCTCTCCCCAGGACACAGACAGCAGCAGTCACAGGTGGGGGGTTCCTTGAGTTTATTCTGTACCCGACATTAGGATGAAATGGTTCCCATAAATAAGGGGCTTAAGCCCTTCCTCACGAGCATGGTCCATGATGGGGGGGCAGGGCGGAGGGGGCCCAGGTGGGAGTCCTTTTGAGTGCCGAGGCAGGGGGCTTGGAGCAGCGAGCACCAGAGGGTGGGCAGGCAGGGAGGGGTCAGGAGCTACCCCGGATCCTCTCCATGTAGCTGCGCAGCTCCTCGGGGTCCTTCAGTCCCATGTCCTCACACACCCAGCGGATGTCATCCTCGCCTGCCACCAGGATGGACTGCACGGCAGGGGCCCCTGCGGGCTCCTCAGACACCTGGGCCGGGGGCGCTGGTGCGAACGTCACAAACTCCACACGCTTCCGCCGCCCCCCGGCTTCCTTCCGGGCCAGCGTGCTCGAGGGGCCGGTGGTGCCCCCTGCAGGGGCCTGGGTCAGGGTCAGGGCCTCCCCTCCTCCCCCACTCTCTCAGGGGCAGCCCCCCTCCCCCTTGGGCAGGCCAGGGGACTGCCGGTCCAGCTGGCGGCTCAGTTCCTCCTGGTCAGTGCCCAGCCAGACCCAGTTGTGGGGCTGGGGGGAGGCGGGGTCCGTGGCGCTGTCGGGGGGCTCCTTGCGCTGGTAGCGCAGCACGAAAACCACACCGTTGACCAGGAAGATGAGGATGGCCAGACAGAAGATGCCCAGCAGAGCGTACATGCCCAGCTCTAGGTCGGTGACCCGCTGAGGGGCGGGGACCATCTCCTCTTCTTCCTCCTCCTCCTCCTCCGTGTCGCCAGCCTCTGCCTCCTTCCCAGCCTCCTCCTCTGCCCGCTCAAACTTGCCCCTCACGCCCCTGTTGCCCCCAACACTGCCTGCCTCCCATCGTTTACCCCCCGTGCTGGCCTCCGTGGCTGGAGAGCTCCGGGCAGGGCTGGATGGGAGGGCAGGGGCCGGGGTGGGAGCCGGGGGCAGCCCCAGCCAGGCGGTGCCAGAGGCCAGCGGCACACGGTGGCGGCCCCGGCGGCAGGGCTCGGGCGGGTGCAGAGCCACGTGCAGGGGCAGCCCCTCGGCCCCTGCCCCACTCACCACCACCCCCAGCGGGGCGCCCCGCTCCTCGGCTGGCAGGACGGCACCGGGCTCCTCAGCTGAGATGGACAGTCCCAGGTCGTGGTGGTCGTAGAGCTCAGCGGGGGCCAGGGTGTGGTCAGAGAAAGACAGCCAGAGGGAGAGGGCCACCTCCTGTAGGGCACACGGACACAGGCAGAGACATGCGAGGGCACGCACGCATGCACACAGAGACCACTCCCACAGAGACAGGCCACACGGAGGAGGAGAGATCAGAGAGAAAACAGACACAGGCAAATGGACAAAACACAGGGAGAGAGGGGGCGTGCGTCAATCACCTGTCTGCCACTCAGCCCTGGGGTCTGAGTCATCGGGAGGGTCCTCAGAGCCAGCTAATCAACCTCCCACTGCCACACTCCAGCCAGCCACTGCTTGGTCACCTCCGGCTGCAGAGAGCTCACTACCTTATAGGGCAGTCAGACCTCATTCTGAAAACGCTAAGGTCCAAGGGGTCCAGGTATCTCCCATCCCCGTCATTAGCCCCCATCTGGAGATGTTGGCCTCATCCCCCTGACCCCCAGCTGTCACCTGCTTTGGGGCGGGAAAGGCTGACTGTGCCCAGCACGTGGCTGTGACCTCCCCGGGGTGTGCAGTGCCCCGGCTCAGGGCCAGTGAGATGCCCATCACCGGCTGCACCCGCAGCTCCAGCACCGAGACCTTGTCATCCGTCACGGCCAATGCCTGCTCCCCCAGGATGGAGTCAGACAGTGGGGAGCGCACCTGAGGGCGAGAGGGAGCTGCAAGTTGGGGGGAGGGGGGCCCAGCCTCTCCCCGCTGAGCCCCAGCATCTGAACCGGCTGCCTTTCCCCACCCTTTGCACCCCATGTGCCCTATACATACCTGGACCCCAATCCCATGCCTAGGGGACAGTTTCCTCCACCCTCAAGACCTAGCCCCCACATACCCAACCCCAGCCCTTCATGCTCTGAGAATGTCCCCCATTACACGGGCCACCCTATTCTCCCCCAACCCCCAATCCCACTGGGCTCATACCTGACCAGGTACACCGCAGACCCCTCTGACACTCTTTACACCTGCCCATGAACACTCTGGGGGCCACCTCCACCCTTGTCAGGGGGTCTGCTCACCTCGATGGAGGTGACGCCAGGCTCCCGGCCCACCAGGACACGTCCGCCCTCCAGCGAGGCTACACGTGGGTCCAGCACTCGCGCGTGCGGTGCGACGAGATGGGACACGTCAAGCAGCCAATCGGGGCCGAGCAGGTGCGTGAGGCGGCGGCCGCCATCCAGCGGGTGGGCCGCAAAGGGGACAAGGAAGCGCACGCCAGCGCGCTGGTACTGCAGGCGGCAGCCTCGGGCGCGCCGCTCCGCCTCCTCTGCGACCGCGGGAGCCTCGGGCTCTGGCGGCCTGTGGGGAGAGGCCGGCCCGGGGGCGGGGCGTCAGCCCAGGCCCCACCCCCAGCCTCTGAGGGTCCCGCCCACTGGAGACACACCCACCCCACCCACCCCACCAGCTCCCGGAGGCGCATTCTTCAAACTTTGGGCACAGCCTTTGATCCCAGTGGGGCGCTTCTCCCCACTTCTACCCGCTGGCGAGGCGCCCCAGCCCCGCTCCTAACTGGTGCCTGTGCCTGTCCATCAAGCCGCTCTCTGGCTCCTAATTGGAACTCTTGGCTCCTGGGAGTCAAGGTCGAGAGGAGCGTCACCTTTGGCTCTGATGGGACTCTCTCAATATTTACTGAGCTAGGTGCCGTCATAGGCTTTGCGGACACAGCAGTGAACGGAATAGACAAAAACCCTTGCCTTCAAGATCTTACAATCTCGGGGAGGAGCGAGTGTGAAGGGGGTGGACAGACCGCACACAGACCGATGTTACGCGGTCATCAGAAAGTGATACACACCTCACAGAAGTGAGGGTGGAAGGGGGAGAGAGAGGGCGGGCGGCGGAGTTCTGCAACTACAAATGAAGTGGTCAGAGGCTGGTGGTGAAAAGCGGGTGGGTAGGAGGAACCGGAAGCAACCGGGCCGTTGTTCAGGGCTCCACCCCCCACCCCCTCGCTTGGGACCATGCCCACATTCCCTGCACCATCTCTCCGTCCCAGAGCAACTTCGCCAAGGCCTCCACTCACCCTTCAGCAGGGCCGGGGACCCTCCAGCCTCGGACCTGCTCCAGGGTGGTGTCGGTCAGCTCGATGCGCAGGGGCAGCAGCGGAACCCACACTGTCAGCCGCAGCGAGGCCCGCAGGCGGCGCCACCAGAAGTCCACCCGCACCCCGCGAGCGCCTTGGCTCTCTTTGCCGGCCACAAACACAGCGTCACAGGTCTCCGACACCTAGCGCGAGGGCAGGAGCGGGGCTAGGCCAAGGAAAACGGGTGCAGACCAGAGAGGGCTGCCCTGACCCCTCCCGGTAAGAAGGGGCAGGGCTGAAATTCATGGTGCATTTTACGCGCATGTCTTAAGATGAGGGAGATTTCGCCATGCAGTCAAAGATCCGCTCTGGACGAACCAGTCATTCCCCAAGTTCACCTGGGGTTTAGCTGGGAAAACTGGCTATCCGCATTCAACAAAATCTTTCTCCTGGCAGAGGAACGTTCGAGCCCACAAATTTGGCTCCTGGTTAGTGCTGGCCGCTGGCTTTCTTGCTGGAGCCCCTTGGCAACCTTACTATAGGAAGCAAGGCAGAGAGCCAGGCCAGACCTACCCACCCCAGAGCCCTCAGGAAGGAACCGCTCACAGGGGCAAAGCACGATCATAAGTGGCAAAACACCTTTTCCAGGCAGGCAGCAAGGAGTTAGGAAAGGCAGGCTCTGGGCTTCTCCTCTTCAAACTTCAAAGTGGGGAAGGTTGCCCTGCCCTTTTTGTCTTTTACTTCATGGATCATTACCAGGCTCTCATAATTATCTGTGATGCTTTTAATTCTTGCAACAGGATAATATATTCCTATGTTAATGCTTAGAAAGCCAAGGCTCAGAGAGGTTAAGAGACTTATCCACGATCACACAGCTAACTGATAACAAACACAGGTTTCAGACTAAAATCTGTCGATCCCAAGGTACATGCTCTTTTTTTTAAAGTAGGCTGTATGCCTAACATGCGACTCAAATTCACAACCCCGAGCTCGAGAGGCGCGTGCTCTATTGACTGAGCCAGCCAGGTGCCCCCAAAGTGCTTCAGCTCTCCCACCTCAGCTCATCGGTCAGTGCGGTAATGAACATGAAGGCACCTAAGCTGGGGCTGCTGGGGTTACCTAGCTCGCACCTGACTGTGCACAGAGGTGGTGGGAACGAAAGAAGTTGAATCTGGGGTTCCCCCACTGAGGTTTCTGGTGTCAGTAAGAAACTGTTCTTTCAGGGACTGAGTGAGGAAGACATAGGTGCGTCGCTGGGCACGTCAGGGCACACTCACACGGGGTCGGCGCGTGCCACTCACCTGCAGGACCTGGGTGTTGGCCGATTCACAGCCGATGTGCTCAGTCACCTCCACCAGAGCACCCCCACTGTCCACGGTGACGAGGCGCACAGGCACACGCCGCGGCTCTCCAGTCAATGGAGCCGTGTTCACCAGCTCCTCTGCCTGGGGGGGGGGGGGGCAGGAGGAGCTTAGTCCCAGCCTCTCCGCCTCGCTTGGCCCCGGGGCCTGGCCAGGCACAGGTGGGGACTCCTTACCTTGGCCAGTGGGACAAGGGCTCTTATGTCCCGCTCAGACACCAGGATCTCCCACACCATTTTGTCCTTCTCTGCTTCGGGGGCCTGGCCTGGGTATTCCAGCTGCCATGTGACAGGGCGAGTGACCGCCACACCCCCGCTAGTGCCATTCTCCACCAGAAAATCCACCCACAGGAACTCGGATAGTTCAAGGGGGCTGCTGGCCAGAGGAGAGAGGGAGAGAGAGACTGAGTGCTTGCTAGTGGCCATGCACTGTTGAAAGCACTTGCTCTACTCATGAGGTGGGTCCTATGAGAATCCCCAATTTACAGATGAGAAAACTAAAGT